GTATATTTATATATGAATCTCTGAATATTGAACGTTCAGAAATCTTAAGCTAGAGACTCAGATATACAAGGCACAGCTTCTAAGTTAAGTTAATTAATTGTTTCCTTTTACTAATTATTAACTAGCTGTATATGTTGTATAAAAAAACTAGATATATATATATATATTTATATATATGTGCTATGTTATTTATATACATGTAATATTTTTTTAAACCAAATGATCGAAGAATGTGAAAATTAAGAAAGATATTATGACAAATAAAATTTGAGAAATTAAAAGAGAAAGAAAATGAATAAGTATTTTCTATCACATCTATTATTTGATTCAACTGGGAGGAAAAATGAAAGATTGAGAACCCAGTAGGAGAGAATAAGAATATACATATCTATATAGATAGAGTCACTAATCAGTATACATATACATATATATATAGACTCACTAATCAACTACTTTCAATCAATGGATACTAGGACAGAGATGATACTTTGTACGTACTTGCTAGTATATATTCGAGTTCATCGTATACATTTATGTATGCATGTGTACATACATATATATATATATATGTACGTACATCAATATTTATATGCAACGCATACGTACTTATAAATTAAGCACCTCAACCAAGGCTTAATGAACCAGTGATGATGACAAATTTTTCAAGTAACATAATAATTCATTGAAAATTAACAATATTTTATAGTCTATTTGAAGTACATGTATATATATATGTATATATGTATGTAAAGATTAGCTTAAATATCTTTGTGAGTAACATTAGATTTAATTAATTAATTAATTAATTTAATGAACAAATCCAAGTAAAAAGATGGTGAGAAAAAGATTATTAAGAAGGGTACTACAAGGATGATTATCAATGAAGGTGAAGACACATGAAATTAGCGGAAAGGGAGACAAGAGTTACTGATAAGTTTTTATCTTTACAGGACTTTACAAATGGCAATATATACGTACATGTATATATATATATATATATACATGTACGTATTATATATATATAACACTTTTAGGGTAAAAGGAAACCTCATTAATTTAAGCATAAAAAGTTTTCAAGTGTACACACACCACGACTATTATAGTCAAAAGTTTTCTACTTACACCTTTTCCTTACACCCTTTTTTATTTTTATTTATTTATTCGATATATGATCATCACATCACCATCATTTTTATACACTGATCGTTGTATATATGTATATATATTAATTGAAGTAATTGGATTTGAGGAATCGTATCACGAAATGCTTTTTTTCCGTATCTAAAATTGGTTTCTTCACCAAGAATCGGACAAAAGAAAAAAAAAAAAAAAGATTTGTAATATTTTTCTGACTTTTTGTTTATTGATTTGAGTGTTTATACCCCAAAAAAGACTGCACATAACGACATACAATATTATTTATTAAAAACAATATAATTATATATTAATCAGAGAAATAAATTGAGAGAGGAACATACATATATACACAAAATGAATAAAAACATTAGCCATAAATGTGGTATATAAATATTTTTTTAATTCAACTTTTACATATCATAGAATAGGTTGCTCAATAAATAATTTTAATAATGTAATATCATAAATTGATTTCATGTATATTCAAGATTTAAGCATCAAAATACTATCAACCAAAATCAAACTTAATATGCAAATAAAAAATATATCTCTTCCCAAGAATTAACTTTTGTCTGTGAGTGTGTTTGTGGGGTTAGAGGAAAAAATTAACCTTTAAAGAATAATTCTTGAATTTTTCAATAAAACCCAAGAAAAACAAAACAAAAAACTGTTGATATACTTGGTGGGTGGGGGTGTGTATGGATATTATATATATATATATATATATATATGTAAGTCTTTGGAGTTTGAATGAGCGCATGCCATGCCCAAGCTGACACAAACACAAACCAGAGATAGAAAAAAACCAGATACGAGCAGTGTGTGTATGTGTTTTTTTTTTTTTTTTTGTTTTCAATTAAAAAATTTAGTGTCTGAGAATTTGCTTTGTGCTTGGTGGCTCACCTTTTGAAGCTCTCCCCCAACATGGATTCTCTTTGCCAGACACCAAAAACCCCATCTCTTGCATCAAGACAGATAGATAGTACTACTAGATTCTACTTTTTTCCTTTTTCTTTCTGCTTTCATCATCTACCTACCTACCTTTGTTTTCTTTTAATCTTTTAATTCCCACCTTTTTTATTTTATTAATTGCCCTCCCACACAAACACACATTGAATTCCAATTATATGCTAACATGTAAAATGACACACACAGTAACTATGGTTTTTGTTATAAATAAAATTGGCTAAAGTATATGTAGAGTAATCCAATAAATATCACAAGTGATTATTATGTGTTTTATTAAATTAATAAAAAAAAAAGTTATATGATAAGTAAAATAATTCAGTAATATGTTTTTTTAATATTGAAAAAAAAAAAATTAAAAGTTAACGTGGGTACTAGTACATCATGAGTGGTGAATGATATATATAAAATCTAGAGGTGTATAAGCATGAAGACCCCACTCCACTCTTACTGTCATCATTGCAGCTGAGGTGGAGTGGGGAAGGGCTACCTCTTGCTTTTTTAGCTTTTTCTTCATCTACCCTTTTATTGGTAGGCCTCAGGGAATGTCTCTTAATTTGCTTTGGATCGACTACTTATATATACATACATACATATATATATATATAAAATATATATATTTCTTTTATGTATTCAATATTCTTTGTGCCTCTCCATTTCTCTTGGGACTTCAATCTGTTAAGTTATCTCTTTATGTGCGTGAAATGCAAGGGAATGTTGAAGGCAGCAGGCACAAGCTTTGGCTTTATGTAAATTGTTGTTTTTTTAATCAATTATCAACTTTATCCTCACTATGTAGACAGATCTCTGAGATTGATCTCTTGCAGTAAAGTCCTAAACATATACTATTTTTTTAATTTACACCTTTTCCCTGTGTTTCTTTATTATTAGGACCTATATAAAACATTAATTCTTAAGTCTTATCCCTAAAATTATTTAATTTTTTTTTAATTATTTTACAAAAAATGTTTATGCTACGGCATGGGATAACGAGTTGAAAACAATAATACCGTTATAAATTTTAGAATATTTTTTTTAGTATTTTAAAAAGATTTTTTCAGTTCTTTTTGTTTATAATACACAAATTTTACAAACCAAAATTATGCTAAAATTAAACGAAAATAATTGCTTTAACATCTAGTGTTTGTATCTAAAATAACTAAAAAGCAAATCAGATATAGAATTTGATATGCAGAAAGAAAAAGATTATATTAAATTATAATTTATTTATTATCAATATAAACAGTGCATATATGAAAGAAATATATGTGATTTGGTAAAAGATTTTGGTTGTTATAGTGTGAGCAGCAAGCAGCAGCAAAACCAAGACTTTTTTCTGTTCCGAAGGAGCAAAATGAGAAAAGTATGAAGAAAACGAAAATAATATATATATATATATATTTTATATATGGAGCCAAACATTTTCAGAACTAGTGGTGTAGTGCACCACTAAATGATATAACCATTTATGTATTTAAAATAAAATTCTCTACAAAAATAAAGTCATCATATAATTACTTAAAATAAATTAGTTTTCAAAGTTTGGAGATTTGGATCAAAAGGAAAAGATTGCTTAATTACGAGAAACAATGACAGCAATAAGTAACAAAGATTTAACAAAAACACTTCCAACAAGGCTTAGGCTTAAGACCATTCCCATGAGTGCCTGCTGTTCTATACTCAATTACAACAAGAGCTTCTACTTTACTTTTTTTTTTTATTTTATAAAAAAACAAAGGTTTAAGAACATTAATATTTTCCTTATTCTAACTGAAACAGCCAATTACAACTTGATCACAACTACGGCCAGAGTGCTCTTACAAAAAATCAGCTTATTATTTTTTTTTTATAATGATAATAACCATAATAATAATAATAATTTTCTTTTATTTATATGATTCCCATTCCCCGTTGTTTACTCTCATTACAATCAAACAATAATTTTTTGTAACTGAAATTGTTTTTGTCGCAGTTCAATATATGAGATTTCATCTTTTGCTACTTTATGTAAAATCAATTAGTTTTGTTTGATATATTAAAAATATTTTTTAGTTTCTTTTTTTTTAAAATTTATATGCTAATCAATAATAAAAGATAATAGCAAAAATAATAAGGAAGTTTTAAAAATTTTAAAATGTTGTTTCTAGTATTTTTTTAAAAGTTATTTTTATTTGTACTCAGTCATTTTTTAAAGAAAATTCTTATATACTTTTATAAATGAAAAAAGAAACGCATGACAATTTATAAGTTACAAGACTAAATACATCAAACCAAAAAAATATTAAAATATAAAATAATAACCTAACAATTTTTTTGCACAAAAATATCAAAATACTAAATTATGATAAGATCTAACACATGATATGAATTTATATTTTTCTTTAAAATAAAAATATGAGTAAGAACCATAAATTATTGACAGCAGATAAATGGGGAAAAAAGTTGAAAAATAATACTATGCATATTGTGAATATAAATATTAAACAAACAAGGCATTATCTTTCTGAAAGTCCTTCAGTTCCCCATTTAAAGAGGGTTCCTGGATTACCGTAAATAAATAAGTGCTCAAAAACAATGACATGCTTTAACATACTCCGGAACAAGATCATTTTTCTTACAAAAATAAGTAAACGTTTGAATAAGTTACTGTGACAAAAATTAATTAGTTGTATTTGATCATATAAATTAATAAAAAGATACGTACTTAATATAAATATTTTTATAATTTACATTATTATTATAAAATATATATTTAATTTAAAAAATATCAAAATAGTAACTAAATAAATTTGGAAAATTAAAAATAAGAAACTCAAAAAAGCATTTATTTTCAACCTTCTAATAATCACTTCTAAAAACCTAACTCTATTTGTTGTCTTACCAAACACTAACTAAAATATGTTAAAACTGCTAATATATAGCAAATAAACAATTTCAGTTACCCTCTATTTCTATCTCCTAGTCACCTCCATGAAATTCATTAAATACTAACATACACACTATATAACAAAACAACTGCATTTCAGCTGAATGCACTATAAGATTATTCATTAATATTCAGCATATATTTATCTAAAAGGGTTCAAAATCTAAAAGGACTAAATCAAAGTTAATGGCTGGGGTTCCTTTAAGTTTATTGAGAACAAGGTGCTTCCAGTTAAGGATTGCAGCTTGTTTACTGTAAAGGATCTGATGAATATGGCGCCTTTTTTTGTGTACCTAAAGCAGTGCCTATCTCTGGGCTTCAATTAGTTGAAACTATTTGGAACAAGTTCTTTTTGTCCTTGGCAACAGAACTCACCACTAAGAACAAGGACCTCTAAACCTAAGAAAATCAAATCAAGGCTTAAAACTTTAGGTAACTACATATAATAAGAAGGGAGTACCTGGTGCGTTTAACCCAAAAAATTTGGTGGGTTGAACTTAGGTCAACTATGACCCCCTCACTGACTCATGTTTCCTCCGTCACACATCCTCAATGGTTTTATATTAGTCTGCCTAAAGATTTTTTTTCGTGAAGATTTCGAGTGACAATTCTCAGAGGATGGGCTTCGGTATTAAATACCCATTCATCCAAAGAGATGAGAGATGGAGGTGAAAATAAGAGGTAGAGATATTTGAGAGTCTCGGCTAGGAAGAAGCTCTGCATCATATTGTCTCTGACACCAGTTGTCACCTGAGTACAAAATGTTAAAATCAAGAACATGAAAAGATCTCATTGGAAAAAGAAACAGGCTGCAAGCTTCTTTCAGATTTCAACAAAGATATATAATACATGCATATACATATGCACATACAAATGCACACGCTTAAGCTTGATTGCATTGCAGGAAGCAGAACAGTATGATTTAACATTACAATGCACATGAGATGAAAATCAAGCTAGTGCATATATTAATCATCTTCCGGGATTTAAAAGACAGAAAAATCTGCAAGGACTGTGGTAAAGAAAAGGCTTAAGAGTAAATTTTGATAAAAAGCTCTTATGATTCATATAGTCCAGATTAAACTCAAAACTCTGGATATACACAAATAAACCAATAGGTTATGGATATCTTAAAAAACCTTCCATCTGTTTCGAAAAATGTTACTGAGGGTTTTCAGAGGGTAGGTTTCACAGAATTGATATATGGGTTATCCAACAAGAGATGAAAATTATTTCCCATCCCCACCTAAACAGTTAGAAAGAAAGCACACACATGCATGAATGGAAAATCACACTAAGGTAGAGAAGTAAACGTCTGAAGTTCAAAAACCCATGTGATCTGAATCTGCTGAATGTGGATAGTAAGAACTAAGCAATGAGTGTTTCCTGGAAGCCATACTAGCAATACTGATAATCCTTTATAAAATAGAATATTTAAATTACAGCTCTAGATTGAAGGAAAACTTACATCTTTAAGCCCCACGTATCCTGTCTCCAAACGGGAATTCCTTTCAAATGCTTGGAAAATATTCCAGCCCCATTCTTGGTATGTCTTATTCCCAGTGAAACGCCAGAGGTAAAAGAGGGACTCCACTGTCTCAGGCCTCAAAATATTCCAGGATGTGCCAAGACTCATGTCCTATAAATTCCTTTTTACATTATGTACAAAACATTTTCTTTTATTAGACAAGTTCATTCAACAGAAGAGCTGCTCCTTACCTGTCCAGCACGAAAGAAATAATTCTCTCCAGCCAGTTTTGTAGGTGTTGACAGATAGAAGTTATAACAAGTCCATGCAAGCTACATTGCAAAGCCAAATACATTTCAGTTAAATGATTAAAGGCACCAATAATCCTTGCTATAATCAAATTGTCAAGAATGCTTAGGTTGGGGAAGCTGTGAGTTTAGCCATAGATTGCAACCTGAAACTACCACATTTCAGAAATATATTCTCCTTGTATGTCTCCATCCTACAACCCCAATAGACTTCTTCATCAAGCTAGTTAGCTTCATGACTGCTAGCTAGCAGTTACGATCCTACTTCATGTAAAATTGGCTTAGAAAGTACCATAAAAACAATTCTTCACCATATGAACCAAAACATATTGTGATGTTTTGTCCAATCTCCCTAGTCCTGAGTACTTAATATTGTCTGAAAAAGCTTTAGGTGCTTGAGCAGAATGAAATCCATTCAAGCATTTTATTTTTTCGATGCTTCATTTTGCTTCACTTATAGTTTCTTTTCTCTTATCCTGTTTTCTCACTTTTCCTTCATAGAAGAGTCAATATTAAATCCTAAAATCAAAAACTAAAAAACAATCAGGACCATGCCTGCAATATCAAAAAACTAACCCCAGCTCGTAGCGTAAGGGTTAGAAAAACATCAGGTGAGGAGCTTTTCCTTGATCACAGCAGATTTCTTTTCCTTGATTAGGAAAAACATCAGGAAGGTAGGGTAAAATCCATGAGTATATTGCTTATGGATACCTCTTCTGCCAACGATAAGTATTTTGCAGCTTCCACAGGGCCATAACCAGAAGATCCTAAAACCAACATCCCGGGTACAAAACATGCTAACTCATCCATCTGCACGCAAGAATACAGAAACAAGGCGCATCATAATATTTAGCCATCAAATAACATCAAGAATCTTCTTGATTAGTTAGGCAGATCCTACCTTGTCCGTATGTGAATTTCCAGTCTTTTCACATAGGTACGCAAAGGAGGATGGTGTTGTTCTACGAACCAAACTTTGCAAACCCCTCATTGATGCCTCCCACATTTCTCTGTTTTCAGAATTTATTGATGCTGGTTTAGTTAGAAATATGTCTAGAAAAGAAGAATTCTCAATAATGGTAATAGCAACCATGATACTAGTGAAAAAATTAAATAAGGTGTTTAAATCTGATAGCAACTTATAAACACCTTGGTAATTGTTCTTGTTTCATAATCCAGTATGTATGGTCCTCATAAGCAACTTATGAACACCTTGGTAAAAGCAACCATGATACTACAAATCAATATATCCTCTACGTGTTTTGGTTATAACTTAAAGTATTTATTTCTTAAAGTGTTAACCCTTGAACACTTGAACAACTTAAACCTTCATATTTCAATTTAAACAATTAAAACCCTGATATTACATAGTGAGAAAAAGGCTTCAATTGAAATTTGAGTAAAATAAGTTATGAGATGCAGTTATATTCATCACTCATCTCTCTTTCATATCCTGAAAGAAAGCAATATAGTAGTGTTTCCCTGAAAATCACTGGCATCTGGCAATCACCAGAGCGAAAAATTCTCACTCCATTACTCCTTTGCCATCCCTGCCATCCGTTTCTCATCATTTATTTCCCATGTCCAATGACCCGTGGTGGCACCCCCTTCTCACAGTGACACTCCACTTCTCGTTAGCCACTCAGTGCAGATCCCACAAATCCTTTTCTGTAAACTAGCCTAGCCGCTCACCAAGCTAGCAAAAACTTGCTCTCTCCAAAAGTAAGTACTAGGAAGCTAAGCAGACCAAAAAGCTCAATTGGCAACAAGCTAGACAAGCTCTGCTTACTCAAATCCAAGAGTCCCGGTCTCATCAAACTGTAAATGCTAATTGAAATCTTATTCATGAACCTACAAGCCCTTATGTCCAAAATCAACACCCATTCATCAAAATTCATAGAAACTGAGACTAAGAGCACTTGAATTATTCAGCTTCATTATCTCTCTGGGTCACTAGGAATGAGATTATTTTCACTCAAGTTTGACATTTAACTACATACAAGCTCCCAAAAACCAAAAAATCAATTCCTCCTCAAATAAAGGATCTTCAAACTTCTATCTAATTCCTTAAGTAACTGAATATGCGCCCAAAGATCAGTACACTTCAAAATCAACAACCTGCAATCAATCTCATGTCAACTTCAAGTTGCAGGCATTTGTCAGAAGAAACCGCAGAGGGTCATCTCTCACCATTTCCCTATCTGACTTGACACAAATGGAATTAAATGGACCTGTTCCCATTTAGATTTGAAGACAGATGGCTCATTGTGAATGATTTTAGTGCCAAATTCAAAGAGTGGTGGAAGGCAAATGAGATAAATGACAAGCCAAGCTACAGGTTAGTGAATAAACTAAAGGCGAAAAAATCAACTATTAACGAATAGTGCAAGGATGAGGATTAGAGGAAGAGCATGGAGACACAAGGTTTGTTCCATGACACACAGACAATTAACGATTTGGAAGACGAGGGAGAAATTTCTACAGAAGATATAGTGACAAAGGAGGCGCTAAAGATGGATTTCGCAGCTAGATTACAAAGAGAAGTAGATTGGCAACAAAAATTGAGGGCGAGATGGATTAAAGAAGGCAATTACAACATGAGATTTTTTCACTGCACGACTAGTCACCATACGAGATGCAGTTTTATGAAGGGAATGGAGATTGAGGGAAGAGGGGTCAAGGGTAATGAAGATTTGAGGCAAGGGGTCAAGGATTACTTCTGTAGACTATATTGCGAAGAGTTTGTTAGACATCCCAGATTGGATGGCATCAACTTCAATATGTTGGATGAGGCGACTAAGGAACATATTGAAAGAGACTTAACTGTTGAAGAAATCTATGAGGCTCCCAAGCAATGCAAGAAAGACAAAACTTCAGGTCCTTATGGTTTTAATATGGGTTTGTTACAGAAATTTCCGTATCTGGTCAAGGATGATGAAATGGAACTAGTCAAAGAATTCCATGATGTGGGTACATTATGAAACCTCTTAATTATAATTTTTTTGGTGCTAATTGCTAAGATGGAGGATGCTGTAAATATTAAGGAGTTCTAACCGATAAGCCTAGTGAGTTGTATTTATAAGCTTATTACAAAAGTTTTAGCCAAAAGAATCAGTAAGTGTTGAACAAAGTAATTGGAGAGTATCAACATATGTTTGTAGAAGGTAGATTATGGAGGTGGTACTGATTGCTAATAAAGTTGTTGAAGACTAGTTGTACAGGAAGAGAGATGGTGTATTACGTAAATTAGACATGGAGAAATCTTTTAGGGTTTTATTGATTACTTGCTTGATAGAATGTGTTTTGGCTCCAAATGGAGGATGTGGATCAACACTTGCATTACTGCAACTTCGTTTGCAATTATGCTGAATGGAGGTCTGTCGACTTTTTTCAAAGCATCTAGAGGGATTAGACAGGGAGACACATTTTTCCCTCCATTGTTTATCATTATGATGGAAGTTTTGAACAAACTGTTAGTGAGAGCCAGAGATTTGGGTGGAACAAGGAGAGACAACAAAGGAAGTAATTCATTTTTTTTGCTTATGATGTATTATTATTTTGTTAGCCAGAGGAGAGATATTTGTTGAATCTTATATGTGTTTTGTTTTGTTTCCAAGTGGTATCTGGTCTAAATATAAATCTTATGAAGTCGGAGATGGTCAGATTGGGTAATTTGAGTGATACTGGAAGACTAGCATTGATCTTAGGCTACAAAGTTGTGGACTTGCAAATTAATTATTAGGGCCATGTCGTTGGATGCTACTTGTAAAGATCTGAGGACATGGGATCCCATTGTGAATTAATGTGAGAAGAGACTTGCAGGATGGAAGAAAAACTTCCTATCCAAGGGCGGGCGATTAACGCTTATCAGGAGCACATTATCAAACCTTTTTATATACTATATATCATTATTATCCGTGTCAAAGAGTATGGCCAAGAAATTGGAAATAATCCAGTATAGATTCTTATGAGACAACTTACTGGAAAAATAGAAAATATCATTTGGTGGCTTGGAACAAGATTAAAAGACCATTAAATCAGGGAGGTGTGGAAATTAGATTTATGGTTGAAATGAATCAAGCTTCAAAGGGGAAATAGTTGTGGCAATTCATGAAAGAAATGCATAGTCTATAGAGAACAATTATTGAGGTAAAGTATGGTACTACTGACAGAGGGCGGTACAGCAGGATGCCGAAGAGACTGATTGGGAAATATTTGTGGAAAACGATTGGAGCTGGAAAGGATAAATTCCATGAATGCATTAGATGGAGGGTAGGGGATAGGGAGGGACTAAGTTTCTGGTTTGACGCATGGCCTGATGGCAAATCTCTGCGAATGAGGTTTTCGCAGATTTTTGCTATAGCAAGGAATAAGGACATTATTGTTAAAGACGTGCCTACTGGGAATTGAATGAAATATGAATCACTGTTAAGTGTATTTAAAAAAATGAATCACTGTTAAGTGCTTTGTTGATGTGAACAAAGGGAAGACAAGACACACTAGGTTTCATGAGATCCTAGGACCAAGATGAAACTCAAGCTCTCATAGAACAATACATGGGAGTTCATGGCAATATAAGCTTGAAGGCTCACTGTTTCAAGAAAAGCCAGGGTCAATTAATGTCACAAGGCCATGGCCACCTTAAGGAAGGGCAAGACATGCTCCAAGATGGATCTCAAGACCTCATAAGCATAAGAGGCCAAGTTTAAGACCCATAAAAGAAAGATGTTGCCATATGAACAATTCAAGCTTGGTAGGTTACAGTTTGAGTTGTCTAAAGGAAGACCAAAGCAGATTGAACTATCTAAGTGGAGATCACGGCCTTATGGACTATTCAAGACAAGGCCAAGGTATTTTAGGCAATGCACAAAGTCCGTATGAAAGGCTAAACACAACATATGAGAGGTTTGGATCACATGGAACGACTATGACAAGTTTAAAGCCAAAGAACTCAAGAAAGTCTTCCAAACTTTGGCTCAAGAGTGAATCCTTAAAGGAAAAAGGCTTGGATCATATTTGAAAGCCTATAAGTGAAGAAAACAAGGCCCATGCAGCCAAAAGAAAGCTAGCATGCCAAGCCTTATGAAATAGGGTCACATGGCAAAAACGATTTCTCACCCAAGAGAGATTTTCTTTCATCTTCCTCTCCACCTCAAATTCGGCTACAAAGAGTCCTAATCTAAGTAGGACCTAGGGCAATTAAGCTTAAAGAATTCAATTTCATCTTTTCAAGAGTTCTAAATAAGTGTTTAAGTCATGGAGAGATCAAGGGAGCTTATCTACACATCATTTTTTTTTTAAAATGGCTTATCTACACATCATAAATCCTAATTCAAGTAGGATTTGCGGTAAGGCATTCAAAGAGTCCGAATTCAACTTGAAAAGGGTCCTAAGTAGACTTTATCTTCCTAAATTAATATTAAATAAAGTGTTAGAATCATACTCGGAATGGGAAAGCTCAAAGGAGATGATCTCCCACTCATGGCCGAATATCTCCCTAGATTTTCTCATGAAGAAAGAGCTAGTTCCTACTTCAACTTGGATGCATCCTAATCCATCTTCAACACCGAAATTCACTAAATATCGGACTCCAAAAGCAAGCCAAATAGTCCAAGAGTGGTCAGTTACAATCAAGCTACTTCACCAAGAGAGAAGAGTTTTAATTTATCTTAATTTATGAGTCTTTATTTAATTATTTCTTTAGAATCCTAGATAGGATTTAAAGATAAGTTTTCTAGTTTTAAGTTTTTTATTTTTATTGTAATTCTCAAAGACTATGACTATATGAAGGCCCCACACCTTTATTTGTAATCAATTCAAGTTCAAATCAATAAAAATAAAGCTTTTGCTTTAGTTAGCTTTCGGCTTTTTGAGTGCTCTTTAGGAAGATCTCTTCAACCTTCTTTTTAAGTGAGGAATCAATTATACTTATCAAGGTAACTCTTGTAGTGTTTTATCAATTTTTATTATTTTTTCCAATTACTTTAGTTCTTAATCACAAATTAATTGT